CACTATATGTCTCCCCAGGGATGGTATTATGCGCTTAGCGTGCTTGTGACCGATATTCGAAATTTTGTTATAATGAGCAGTTTAGCTCGATGTATATCTCCTTATGTGAATTCTATGTGTGGATCGGGTGGCACGCCTCCATGGGTACGTTGTTTGGATCGGGTTGCACGCCGCAACAGTGTGATGTTGAGTACAGTTTTCTATATGCTTTTTTTGTATGCCTTGCTTCCTATTTTCTAAGGAAAGTTCATATTAGTGCGTGAGTTGAGTAGTTCCTTCTAGAGTTCGTTTTCCTTTTGTCACGTTCGAGTTCATAGCCTATTGGCACATTGTGGCAACATATGAGACTTTTGATCATGTCTGGGGTGGCTTATTGTCTGAGCGGTTCGTACTGGGTAAGACGAGATCATTGGATTTAAGATCAGCGCAATCTGATTATATGAAGTATATTAAGGAGCTAAGACCATTATTTGGTTCAGGATGAGGTGATGGTTCTTATCAGGAGTATAGACCCAATGATTTATTGATTAGGTAGTTAGGTATGAATTTCTACACACCTCTTCCGTCTTGGCGGTATTGTAAGAGTTAGAGCAATACCTATGTAGGTCATGACGTGCAATGGGAGCATCAGATTCGTGGAATTTCGACTAATTTGATCAGAGAATGTTATTGTGGTCCTGTGAGTAAAATGGCGCAAGGTGTGAATTCAGCTAAGGTATGCAGTCATGTTTTGGTGCTGCGGGTAGTTATTGCGGTGAACGTATGTTAGAACAGGCCTGGCAGAGAATTCTGGATGTAGAAATTGGGCTCTAAGGCTTATTTGCTTAAGTGAAAAAGGATATCTTCAGATTGATCGAGCTAGGGTACCCAGCTAAGTTGTGGTAGCATGGGTAGGTGCTCGGGGTGTGAAACAGTGATTTCGGACAACCCCAAAATAGTTCTTAGCACGTTCGAGGACGAACGTATATTTAAGTGGGAGAGGATGTAACGACCCGACCGGTTGTTTTGACCTCTAGCGCATTGCTCAGCGGTTTGGGGCCATGAGCAGCTTCACTTCAGGTATGTCTCTATGCTCGTTCGAGGACGAATGAATGTTTAAGTGTAGGAGGATGTGACGACCCGGCCGGTCGTCTTAAGAATTAACGCCCCGATCCCCTATTAACTGCTTTCCCCAAGTTTATTTCTGCTATTTTGATTTGCCGGGATGTTTGGTATTGAGTTTCAGAGATTTTTGGGACACTTAGTCCCTAAATGAGAGCTTATGTGTTGGAAAGTTGACCGTAGTCGGAACAGTGTGCAGACAGCCTTGGAATGGAAATCCGATGGTTCTGTTAGCTCCGTTGGGTGATTTCGGGTTTAGGGGCGTGGTCGGATTGTGTTTTGGAGGTCCGTGGCTAATTTAGGCTTGAAATTCCGAAAGGTCGAATTTTGAAGTTTCCGGTTCGATAGTGAGATTTTGATCTGAGGGTCGGAATGGAATTCCGAAAGTTGGAGTAGCTTCGTAGTGTTGAATGTGACGTGCTTGCAAAATTTCAGGTCATTCGGACGAGATTTGATAGACTTTTTGATCGAAAGCATAAGTTAAGAGTTCTTGGAGTTCTTAGGCTTGAATCCAATGTTAAATTGGTGATTTGATGTTGTTGTGAGCATTCCGAAGTTTTGAACAAGTTTGAACGATGTCATGGGATGTGTTGGTACAATTGGTTTGAAGTCCCGGGGACTCGGGTGAGTTCCGGGTAGGTTCTGGGATGTTTTTAGGCCGAAAATCATAGCAATTGCAGGTCCAGAAGAGTTGCAGGCGTCGGAACCCACCAGTGCGGTCCGCACAAAATCCAGTGCGTCCGCGGTGGGGGCTATGCGGTCCGCGGTGAAGAAACTTTCACTGATCCTTCTTCGGAAGCTCATATCTTTTGATATACAAGGAATTTTGGGATGCTTTAAAAAGGAAAGCTGTAGCCCTTTGTGTCTAGTTTCCGGAAAGATAAAGAAATCACAATTTGGACATCTGTAGAGAAAGTTATGGCAAATATACTAAAGCCTGTCACTGCAGTCAAAACCTGTGCGGATAGCAGTCGTTTTTGTGCAGACAGCACTGGTTTTGTGCGGTCCGCAGTCGTTTTTCTGCGGTCCGCAGTGGTGGAAATCCGGGGGGTGCTCTATAAATACGAGGTTTTGGGTTTTATTTCATATTTTAACCTAGAGTACTCGGATTTTGGCAATTGTTCGAAGGTTTTTTAAGAAATTCATCGGGGTAAGTGATTCTAACTCAGATTTGGCTAGAGTACATGAATCTATCATTGAATTCATCATTAATTCGTGATTTGGATGGAATTTGGGAAGAAAATTTGTAAAATTTTTCAAAAATGTAAAATGATGATTTGAAGGACCAAATATTATCGGAATTAGATAATTTTGGTATGGTTAGACTCGTGAGGGTATGAGGATTCTGAAAATGTAAATTTTACCCGATTCCGAGACGTGGGCCAGAGGGACGTTTTGGTCATTTTACCTAATTTCGTGTATTAGCTTAAAATTTAATTATAGAATTGAAGTGTTATTTATATTATGAAATTGAATTGAATAAATTTGGGCCATTTGGAATTGGATACTCGTGGCAAGAGCGTGGTTTCTGGTTGATTTTGAGCCGGTTCGAGGTAAGTGGCTTGTCTAACCTTGTATGGGGGACTTTCCCCTTAGGATTGATATTGTGGTAATTGAAATGCCTTGTACGCGAGGTGACGAGCACATACTTGTGCTAATTGTTGGAAATCCGGTTTTTCATTAAAAATAGCCTTGAATTGTGTTCTTCCTTTTCTTGCTTACACTATTGGAAATTGAGCCTGCTGCTAGCCTAGAAAAGCATGTCTACTCGATTAAACTGCTTTATTTGCCTTAACTGCCTTATTTGTATTACGTGAAGCATGCTAGGTTAGGATTATCTGCTTTTACCTTGGTATGAAATTGATTGAATTGAGTTCTTGTTGGTGCTGTGTATGTTTACTTTGGGACTACGGGACGATATCCCGGGAGCTCCCCTGTAAGTTTACTTTGGGACTACGAAATTGCATCCCGAGAGATCCCCCTGCACTTTTACATTGGAACTACGGAATTGCACCCGGTAGATTCCCCAGTACTGAGTATTTATTTGGGACTACGGATGTGGTATTCCGGTAGATCCTCGCGCATTTATGAGTTGGACTACGGGACTGCACCCGGGAGATCCACTGGATATGGTATTTATATTTGGGGACTACAAGACGGTATCCTGGGAGATCCCCGGTTGTTGATATATATATTTGGGGACTACAGGACGGTATCCTGGGAGATCCCCGGTTGTTATCTTGGAGCTGAGCTGTATTCTCTTTCTGTGTTTTATTTGCCTCTATAATAGTTGTTTCCGTTCTTCATAACCTGTGTTACTTATTTACACTGCTTATTTCACAGTGTTAAACCTTATATCTTATTTAACCTCAGTAGGGCCCTGACCTCCCTCGTCATTACCCAACCGAGGTTAGGCTTGGCACTTACTGAGTACCACTGTGGTGTACTCATGCCCTTCCTGCGCATGTTTTTCATGTACAGATCCAGGTACTTCGACTCAGTCTTACCACCCCTGAGGCGAGGCAACTGCTATAGCGACTTCGAGGTATATCTGCCGCGTTCGCAGACCGAGGAGTCTCTTTCTATTCTTGTTGTTTAGTATTAGCCCTTCCGTATCTCCATTCTTGTTAGACATTCTGGAGTTAGAGCTATGCAGTATTTCTTAGCTTGTGATTCATGGGTTTCCGGGTCTTGAATTTATGTGTTGGTTTTGAGAACTTGATATTGTGTATGCCGAGCGGCATCTTAAATACTATTTCATTCGGTTATTTTTTTGGTTTAATTATTTCTTCCACAAATTGTTTATTTCCGCATTTGTTAGGCTTACCTAGTCATAGGGACTTGGCGCCGTCACGACTGTTCACGGAGGGCGAACTGGGGTTCGTGACACATAGAAATAAAAAAGAATTGAAGAATAAAGAAAAAATTCCCCACAAAACCTACTATGGGTAGGAAAACAAATGGGTAGACAAGGGTATATAGTTTTATTTTTGTGGGTAACTGTGTCAAAACCCCAATTCAATTATCTTAGGTCATCTTCAACCTTACCCCCATTCCCTATAATGGGGACAATTTTTGGGGTAATTTAGCTCCAACCCTCCCCCATTTTTGTCCTTCTCCCCCATTACTATTCATCACTTTTTTATTATTATTTTATTATTTAATTTTTTTATTTATCTCTTTATATATATCTAATTATGTTTATGTAATGTCTTTATAATATTAAGTTTATATCTTAACTTTGGTGTATAATTTTGATAAATTAATTTTCGTGCATTTATTATTTTTATGTAAAATTGTAAGTTAATTTTATTATAAGTTATAATTGTACAAAAAATATATAATTACCTCAAAAAATGAATGGTGCAAATATAAAATATAAGATGTTGCACTTCGTAATACATTAATAGATCATTTATGGGAGAATACTAGATGTTGAAGTTGAATATTTATGTAGTATTTCGAATGAATTTATCGTTATGCAATATGTATTTAATTAATCTTGTATCACAATGATTTCACTTTTATTTGAATCATTAGTTAATCTATAATAATTGCATACAAATTATATTATTTAGAATTTTATGAAATTGTTTTAATGGAAATTACAAATTAATAAAAATAAAAGATGAAATTTGTTTAATGTAATTAAAAATAAAATTGAAATGAAAGATAATAATATAATATAGAAGAGAGAGAAGAATATAAAAAAGTGTGGCGAAAAAAATGGGGGAATGGTTGGACTAATATAATTGTAACCTCTAATTCACGTTCAGAAGAATATATTTGTGAAATTTACATATCTTAAACTACAAGGTGTGGTCGAGTAATATCAATCCCTAGCTATTTACGGCATTTCAGCACATCACAACCTTGTCAATATAGAACAATACATAAAATGTGATCAATTAGTTGTCTACTGTAAAATAAACTTGCAAAATATTTCTGTTGTTTCTAATGTGTATTGGAATTAAATTGGTTGGAATAGTAGATTCGACAATATATAAATTGGTTGGAGTTATCAGCTAAGCTTTTTAAGATTACAACACAATACATTAGGTGCTGGAAAAATTGAGGCAACAATATGTGGTATATAAAGAGTTCCTTCACCTATCTCGGGAGAATCTGTGATGATAGGCTGTCAAAATCAGCAACTCTTTAATGTAAACTAGGGGCATGCTTAATTTGAACTCTTTCTCTTCTTTCTTGATTTAGTGGGCTTTTCTGCGCTGTCCTTGTTAAGCAAATGTTCATAGTCTTCAAGGCTAGCAAATGGGGATTTTCCGGCACGCTTGTCTGACTTCCTTTTCTTTTTCCTTAGATGTACAACATCCTCTTCATCAACTTCATCTGCCTTTTCTGCATCATTTTCATCATCACTGCCGGAATTAATGTCAGCTCCATCATGTTCCAGAAGAGCATTCATCTCATCATCGCTGTTATCACCAAGCAACTCGTCATCATCTTCGTTAGCAACCTCGTCCAAATCACTGTAATCATATTCACCGTTAGCTTCCAAGGGAGTCCCACTGGACTCTAACATGCTGTCGATTTCCTCATTTTCACTCTCTTCAGCAGCCTCTTCATCAATTTCATCTTCGACATCGCTACCATCCGCAGTCAAAAACTCCTCAGCAGCCTCATCCTCTGGCGTCTTCTTCTTTTTCTTCTTAGGCTTCTTCGACGACTTCATCTTATTTACGTAGAATTTGTGGAAGACGAGATCCTCAGGGGTACATCTGTTTCAGCCAAGGAGAGAATATCTGACCCAATCAACTGCCCTTGCATGTCAAACTGCAAGAAAAACAAGATAAATGTGATGAAATAAGAGATTAAATAATCACGTCAAACTTACGTGCAAGCAATGACGGAGTAAATCAATTAAAGCCTGAATCAAAGTGGTATCCTTTGTTATCTATAACAACTAACCTTCTTAGCTGGTTCAATCTGGGAGGCACCATGCCAAGTGCTTTGTTTTGGTTTCTTTTCCATGAACTTGTCGAGGAAGGCATTCAGCGAAAGATCATTCAGGGGGTTACCATTATACACAATGGTTGCTCCTGAAAGAAGGGTTCTAGCCATGGTAGCAACTGATGGGTGCGCATGCGATGCCAGTACCATCAGCTCCCACCAGCTAACACGATCTGCATTGCTGTTTATTTGTACAAGTCAACAAAGAAAAATTACATTTCCACTCAGAGAAGAAATTGATAAAATATTCTATTACTTGCAGTAGAGAGGTTCGCGTGCTGGCAACAAGAGTGCAGTAATTAGGATATCCCCATTTACACAAGGTCAGAAATACCAACTACCAATGACTTCGCATTTCTAAGGTGTATTCTACACATACCAATGACTTCGCATTTCTAAGGTGTATTCTACACATACTCCCTCCATTATATTTAATGACACTTTCGTTTTTTATCCATTCCCACCTTTCTAGATTTCTACATCTAGAAACTCTTTAATTTTAGTATATCTTTTTACCGTAAATGATGTCCTATTTTTTTGGAACAGTGGTTTCTTGGCCAGCTTGCGAACCTAAATGAGAATCTCTTACAGGAATGACATGGCATGTTGTAGACCAAAAGACTCAAAGGGTACTTTGGTTATGTTTCCAAACAATCACTGTCATATAAAAGGAAAAAGAGGAAGTAACAGAACTTATATTTTTATGGACAGTGTCTTTTTCATGTAAAAAAAAATTATCTACCTTTGGGAAGCCAGAAGCCAAAAAGGAATCATAGCCAATTCAAATGAAAGCAGCACGATAAACAAGATAGAGTCTTTGATCTTTGCTCGTGACATTTCACAGACTTAATAAATATTTAAGGCCAGAAAGAGGGCAATAACAGTACCTGAATGAAGGTTCTCTGTGCCGTGGATCATATCCTCCGGGCAATAAGTGCTTTTCATTTGAACCTTCAGGTAGAAGTTTGTTAAATCCGGCCAGCAATCTAGAATCCTTTGGTTCATCTAAACCACCTCTAGCAGGCGACACATTAGCTTGGAGTGAATCATCCTCGGATTCGGAAGTAGAACTACCATCTTCCTGCAGGGAATGATTGCGAATTTGCAAGTGGTTAGGTTCTTGAGCAACTTCACTTGCATTATCTGTTCGCTTTGGTGGATTGGGTCGATTTTCATCTTCTTCTGTAATATCTTCAAAATGCTCAAGATCTTCATCAGCAGACTCACTCTGAAGCATCATGTTCCTGCATGAAAAAGGTAAGACATTTCATGCTGCAAGAAAGATCATTTAGCCATGTCGTAAACTTCGTCAATGGCAACATACTATTTCTACAACCCTACCAGAGAGTTGGTCTGGACTTGAGGACCTCAGACAGAAGAAACAGACACCCACATGCATATTGAGGCTGCTGCTGAATTGTAACCTGTTAATACCAGACACTCGATAGTAAGGTGTAAGAACAAAAACAAATTCTCAAGAGGGCAAAACTAGTATGTGGGTTTTTTAAATCAAATAAAATGGAAATTCAAGCACAGGACCAAAAGAGTACGCTCCTTGATGGGAAAAAAAAAAGAATACATTATACAGCTTTGAGTAGCTTCTTTTTCCCTAAACTATGTTTGAATCAGTGTGGCTCTTCAGTGAATTCAGAATAGCTATTTGATAGTCTATCACACAAATTTATATAAAACCAATGGAAGCCTAAACTTGATATACTTGCAGGAGAATACTTGACAAACATCTGCCTCAAATTAAATACACCTACGTACTTGATCTTTCTATATTGCTAACATTGCAAGATTTCACATAAAAACAAATTTACACCTTGAACAAACCTGCAACAATCGCTTTGAGAATGCAGCAACTCGCTTCACATTTACATCATTTTTCATAGCCCTTAGTAGCAGGCCAATAAACATTTCCTCCTGCAGATAAAACCAGAACATGCTCCGACATAATCAGGTAAAGATTAAGGTAGCAAAGAAGAAAAACAGCCAGTTCACTTAGGTTAGATCCTAACTGAAGCGCAATTGGTCATCAATTGAATGAATACAGGTCATAATCAGCATTGCCAAGTGATGCATTATGACAAAATTTAGTTCAAGACAACAAGAACTCTTCCATATGTTTTCCATTGTCAGCAGGATGGGATTGCAGCAGAAGTACAACTAAGGCTGGAAGTACTAGAAGAAATAATGTCTGAAGTTCCACGTCTGATAAAACTTCTTTTAAGATAAATGGGAACTTTATCATGTAACCAGGTAAAGTAGTAGCAAACTTCAGAAAGGAGGAGGACCTAATTCCTCACAACTTAACTTTCTCAAGATCTGTGACAGAAACAGCAACATGATGCAGCTACTAAATTCAGGGAAGGCCAACTTTTACAGCTCACTTTATACATCAATAATATTAGCTTCACAATCATATGGCATATGACATCCATAAAAGTTGCTCTGGACATTCATTCTCTATGACTTCGATTTTCTTGGTGTTGGGGCTTATTTCCTCTATAAATCGAAGCATGTGTGCTGCAAAGACTACCTTAGTTCTTAATTATGAATGTTTATGGCTTTCTTCAGAGAATATTTTGCAAACAAAATATTGATGCTTCACCAGAACTTTAGTTCCTTTGACTCTTGGAATTTACAGTTTTTTCTAATCTCATTTACCTTCTCTGCTTGATATTGTTTTCAAAATGAAGGTATCTCTAAACCATGGCATTATTGCAAAAGTTACCTAGTAATGACCAAGCATGTTACGGTTAGATATTTAAGTCTAAATTGTGGATAAACGTTATACCCGATGTAAGAGCTTCATCAATATGTCACCACTATGGTAGTCCACTATCCTACCATCAAAAGTTAGAGAAAAAATTTGAATAATGGGTCACCGGAACAAGAGCCATGCTATCCGTCAAGTTTTCAACAAAGAAACTAACATAACATAAAAGCAGGAAGTGAGAAAAGAGTTGTATCCAAGACTCTAATACAGATCTCAACAGCCAGCCATCAATTATTTGGTTTTCACAACCCCCTTCATGCGCAAGAACCCATAATTCATACCAGCCTCAGCCAACAATGAAAAAAGCAAGTCAGAGGTTAGCTCAAGCAACTGCCTCCCCACTTTCTTGCAAATTCTGCGGGCCATAACATAGGCGACTGTTTCATAGCTTTCTCCGAAGTTGGGAATGGAAAAATGGATACCACCAAGATAAGCATCATTTAATCTTCAAACTTGCTGAACCTAAGTATCAACCTTGAAAAACCAATCCATAATCCTAATTATAATCATTAGTCACATCAAATTGCTAAGTACACTATATGCCTTTGATCCCATAAGATTGCAAATCAAGTGTGCATCTAAAGCTTGTACAGACAAGATCAGATACCAAAGATTACAAAAGAAAAGGAACTAGAAGCAAGAGCAGGACCACACAGATCTTGACCTCAGCAATGCCAATACAGAGGTTAATCTACCACTCTCTCTTTATTTCCCTACCCACCCAACCCCTCCCCACCCCCACCCCACCCCCAAACCAAAAAACACTAAACAACAGATGTGTTAATTGAAGACAGTTCAAACTACTATCACCCTGCACGGTTCGAGGGGGGGAAGGGAATTCTTGCAGTGTATATGTTTGTCCTATAAAAAAAGCTTAAGCTGAACCAGAAAGCACAAAAAATAATTATGAAGGTTTCCACATACTTTGGAAGAATTCATTGCAGCTGGTAGCAGGAGCTTAGCATATAAGGCACGATAAAATCGATCACTAACAATGTGATTTTTTGCTGAGATCTTATCTAGGAGCATGAGAGCTTGAACTCCAACATTAAAGTTACTTGAATGAACCTGCACATTCCAAGCAAATTATAAAATGATAAATCTATTCAACAACATCAGATACTTATCCAACAATCGAGCGAGCAGTCAACCACAAGAACTTCATGATCAATATCATATATCAGAGCTTACCAGCTGAAACAAGACGGGTGTATGGGCCTGAATTAGATCATCGGCTTCATCACTTGAAACAAAAGGGAATGCTCTATTCACACCCTGCAAAGGAGAAAGTTGAGCAAATGAAGCAGATCACTATTTTTTCCAAACCAGCAGAAACGTGAAGCATAACAAGCACTAGTGCAAGAAGCTGCAAAGATTGAGCAAGCTCGAGGAATCATAAAGCGAAGTTGTTGGACATAGAACGTAAAAGGGGCAATGTGGTTGTATGTGGAAGAAGAAAAAGAAGCGGGGAAAGGAAATTTTTGAAAATAATATCTTTAAAATATAAAAACTGTCATATTATTTTTTTTTTTAAATTATAATAGAACTATTAACTTTGAAAATGTATATATTTTGATTTCAGTTCAATCCATTTACTACTATTTTAATCCAAATAGATTCTCTAATCTTAACACAAAATTGTAAATTCTGAAAGATTATATTTAAAGTCAATTTAATTAGCCCTTTCAAAGTCTAGTTTAATTCTATTGTGCTGCTCTAAAATATCGAATTTCTAGATGTGTAGTTCCTAAACTGTAATTAAATGAAACTACTGGTAGAAAAAGAGTATCAAAGTAGGGTTGGAGAAAGGAGCAATATAAGGGTTTTTGGGTCATTTACACTACATGCACTCCATTCCAAATACATAAAATGGTATAGCAAGCTAATTATTAGAATGATTTGGTGCATCCCTACGTTCATTCAAGCATATACCAAGCTCTAGAATGAATCCAGATTTGTGATCCCAACCACCCATTAGACTTCACTTCGGTGTACCAGATGGGTCATCACTAATATAATTGAACTCTTATAACCTTGAATTTGTACAAGCTTAGTTCCTTGCAACCATGTACCCTAGGACTCCACGAAAAAAAGTTTACACTAGGGTTCCCCAAAAGGCTTGGCCTAGTGGTCAAAGTTATCAGCTATCTGCATAGGAGAAAGGTGGAAGGTAACCAGTGGATTACTCTACATACAAACTGCGCCAAGCACCACTGTTACAGTTGCGCTCATCTTTCAACAATAAACCTTAGTTTTTTTAATCTTAAAAGAAAGAATCCAGTAAACTATGTGAATTACCAAACATCTGCATTGCTGACTAGAGACTAAACGAGCTACCTCAATGAAACAGTTCCTAGACAGATTTTCATATTTTAATGACCACAAACCATGCAAATCCAGAAACCAAGTCGACAAATGCAAATGCTCCTTTGAGAAATAGAAGTGTTACTCTTTGTGTAATCCAGAGAATTAACAAAAAAGAAATAGAACTAGACTAGTCAACACAAACCGTAAGAAGTGCTGATAGTAAGCGTGAATCCATTTCAATATGAGATTCTGATGAATCTTTTTCTTTCTTCTCTTTCGAAGTACCAGAAACCTCTTTATGTCCCTCGCTCTTTTTATTCATCATCCGTCCATCCCCTGCTTCAGATATTAAGACCTGAAATGTTGATTCAGGATAAAAGGAGGTAAAGAAGGATGTTGCATGAAGTTATGCAAAACACTTGATGAGCTTCAATCGTAAAAATATGAAGCTCTCAGATCTACTAAGACAAAAGAGCAAAGATGCATATGACTAACTTATTGGACTATGACAGCTATAGATCATACCTTAAATAGAGCAAAATATACATCTATCAAACGCTTTGCCACCTTTGGGCCATCCCCCCTGTGACTTAAACGAACTTGGCTTAAAAAGTTAACCTGTTACAATTACAGATAAGTAGGACGTTAGGACTACATATTCTGCAACAGCAATATCTAGAGATGACGACTTTAAAACTACATATCTGCATCAGAATATTTAGAAATGTCACTAACAGCAAATTGGAGCAATAAATAAATACAACACGACTTGCCACCTGAGTTTATCGTTGTATACTTTTTTTTTTAACCGTGGTTTCCGGGCATCGCTTTGCGAACCCGACTAGCTGTACCCACCGGGACCCGCTGTTTCAATGCGTGCACCACGGTTAGTTCCACGGGGCCCTGGAGACGCGGCCGGTTTGTAATGCCTCCAGTGGCCCTGCGGGGGCTCGAACAGGCAACCTGAAGGACTTTGTCCTCAGGCCTTTACCAGTTGAGCTACCCCTCAGGGTTTATCGTTGTATACTTATAAACAGACTTATAAATATATTCTGATCAAATGGCCAAGTCAGGAGATTAAAGCAAAAGTAAGATTCAAAAATAGTAAAGTTCAGAAAAAGGACAAGGATCACATCAATGTGTTTACTGAAAACAAGCAAGCAGAAAAAAAGCTCCTACCTAAGAACAAACCACAATGACATTTAAAATTAGGGCCTATTGGTTTGATTTATCTTAAGGAATCAGGTTTTACCGGTTCAATCAATTTCATTAAGCAGACACCAAATTTTTGGAGATATTACTTTGGGAAAAGGATTGTGTTAATCGGTTATGTTATAGTCACTTATATGCAGTAACAGTTCTCATAATCCAACCCAAACAGAAGAATTTGGATAGACACACTCTGCAGAATAAGATTTATCATATCACAAACAAAAAGAACTTGAAGAGACAAAAGGTATTCGCAGTTGAAAACACAACCACGAAGTATCTAGTGTGACATGCAAAAAAGATGGCAATAAAGTTTCGACATACAGCATGATACTTGGCTCGCAATCCCAGATGAGGCCGGAAAAGAAAATTATCAACTTCGTCAATCACCACAGCCTGCACAGTAAAACAAATAACACGTTAAACAACAAACTTTCATCAGAAAAAGTATCACAATAGAAATCATAACTGCACTTCAGTAATGCTAAGGCATGTGCTTCCTAACAGCTTGTCTATAGTCCAGCAGATTCTCTAAGACATTGATGTAATAGTACCTGCCACCAAACCATCGTGTATGCTTAAGAAATATAATCCTTATTTCAATAGGCATTTCAAGGCATAATATTCTAAAAACATAACCATTTTCAAAGAGCACATTATCCTGCTTGGTCTTATTCGAGCATCACGACTAAGTTAGATTTGTATTTGCACCAACTTCAAACAATTTGATTTGTAATGGAATAACGACTACACCCGATCTCTTCATTTTACATGGGATAGATTATGCATGAACACCATCCTTCAGATGGGCTTTCAACAAGCACTCTTGAAAGTAGCTTTTTCCTTTTGAGGGACACTCCTTGAAGCCAACTTGCAAATTTAGAGCTAACATCAGCCCAAAGCTGTTTGCTTAATTTGTTTCTTTTGAATAATTAAGCTGTTTACTTTTTTTTTTCTTTTTCTTTTGAATAATTAAGCTGTTTGCTTTATTATCGTGGACCTCACAACATGAAGATATACAGGCTAGATGTGATCAATATAGTAATGTCAAAGCCAACAAACGAACATTTATCAGTTTTAAAAAAAATATTGCATCACCTTTTTTTATCAGTACTTGCATGTCTAAGCATGTTCAACCAAATACTTCGTTTTACCTTCATATTTGAATGGTCAGCCAAAAGCTTTGATAGGTGATAATCAGCATTAAATGCAACCTTGTTTTTAGGATCTCCTAGCTGCAAGAAAGTGAAGAGGTATCAGCTGGAGCTCCACAGTCCCAAGAACTCTCAAGAACAAAGTAAATGGCACCAGAAGCAATGAGGTAAAACAGCACCTTGTTTACTAGGGCAGCAAGCAATCGACGCTCTTGTTCTGGTTTGCACTTAAGCAAAACATAAACTGTCTGAAAACATAAATACAAAGATAAGTATTTCCCCACTTTTTTGGATAACATAAACTTAATCGAAGTCTTCCAACATATGGACACTCAGAAAATATCAAACTACAGGAAACCCAATTGCAGTGCAGATGCAACAGCAAAATCAACACATCAGACTGAAATACCGAGTGCAAATACTATGAAACGAGCAAAATGAGTAACTTAAAAAGCAAAATCTTGACAAGTAATGAAGCTATCCAAATTTTTTAGAAGCTTATCAACTCTATTTGGTTGAAAGTAGCGTCCATATAAATTGGTATATTCAGAGAAAAAGATCGGTGTGATCCTCCAAATAGTTTGAAAGGCAATAATAAATTATGTGTAGGTTAGCAGTTGCTGAGTTTCACTCAATTGTGGTCTCGATTTGACATTTTGAAGTCAAAAGTAAGATTTTCTCAAAAGTAAAGCATAAACTACATTGTGATAATAAGTTTGAACTTCCTAATGAGGTTAAATGAAAGGGGAGTCGCACATGGTCACCAGTGAGTAGGGAAAATAAGCAGTTCAATTGGCTAGCATAAAGAGCAAGAAGGAATAAAAGTTTCTCTCACGAGTCATTCTTTTCTCCTTTTCTAAGAGACAATTAGCTAAAAAACGTTGAAGAAGAATTTGCTTTGAGGAGAAACATAGATAGGCAACTATACAGATGTACAATAAAACTGTCAATAACAACCTTTAGTGCCTTGTCTTTGAGTATATCTAAGACATCTCTTGACGCTTCCTCAAGAGAAGCGATATACCGCTCATACCTGAAACAGAAAACCTTATGCAGCTGAAGATCAACATCTTTTTTTATATATGGGAGAAAACCTTATTTGGTTATCAACACGGTAACAAAATAAAAAAGCATATAATAAAGTGAATTATTGAAAAAAGATTCTAACACGCTCTCTGAAATCATCAAATCAGGAACATTTAGAGTTCTATCAAATATATCCTAGTGCACAATGTCCATTCCCCACATTGATGGTATCATGACATTACAAGCACATGAGACCTATCAACCTAAAACTTATGGTCATGGTCAACCTACCACCCACATCCATAATAACTCGTATACCTACAAACTACCAACCATGAATGCAGCAGATAGGAGTAAGCCTGCTCGATTACCAAAAGGAACAGAGGAGTCCCACTTAGGTATCTAACCCTTTCTCTGATGCACTAAGATGAGGAGAGACCACTCAACAGCCATCAACCATGCAGGGCTATGGGTCAACTTGGTACACTCCCCCAAAAGTTGGCTCAAGGTTTAAAACAATGCTTCACATATACTACCATATTTGGAGCTCAAATAATGGAACCATGAAACACTTGCCGAAAAGTTTCGGCTTAAGTGTACCTTTGCTTCAAACATTCCTCCCAATACCAAAAGAGTAGAAGCGAGTAACCATCTTTATTATCCGGAATATGATCTATCGGCCGCTGAAAGAGTGTCTTCAGCTTGCGATCAGGCAGCAGACTGGATAGAAGAAATTCTTCAAAGTCAAATAATGAACGAACTAAGCATAATAAGGATGATCGATATGGAAAGAAAACAAAGTTTAGCGCACCTAGAAACAAACAGTTCTTTCAATGCTTCAACACCTGCCAAAGCATGGCGTTTTCCAACTTTAGCTGTCACCATCCCTACATTGTCATTTTATCTTGATTAAAAACAAGCTCTCGCAACAAACAAACAAACCCAGCAGATAGAATCTTAATACTTCAGCCCCTCCAAGACAGGAGAAACGAACAGTTAAAAAGTTAATAATCTTGGATACAAACCAGATGAAAAACTAAGTAGGATAAATCAGTGTTGTCAAAGGCGCGCTTAAAGCGCGCTTAAGCCCTGAAGTGAGGCTCAAAACATGTTGAGCGCTTCGCCTCGCTTTAAGGGCGCTTTAGTATCACATTAAGGCTCTAAGGCATACTATTCTTTGCCAATGAGTGTAATTATGAAAAGACGACATTAAACAATTGATATTTCACTTTATCGTAATTTTTTTCCAATTTCTTTGTCCATATATTTGTTATTCATACTTATAATTATTAGTCTTGGACTACATATACATATTTTTACTTTTCTCCAGTTGCGCCTTTATTCATTAAAGCCCACGCTTTATTTGAAGCCCCAACGGACCTTAGAGCTTTTTTGCGCTATTCGCATTTGATAACACTGGGATAAATAAAGTCACAAGGCAGGAGAGTAAGGTCTGCATACACCCTACCTTCCCTAGACCCCACCTATAGGATCACACTGGGTATGTTGTTGTTGTATGTTGCTGTTGTTTGTTGTTGTTGTACAAACCAGACGAAAAATTAAGTAGGATACATAAAGTTAACAATGACAGAAAGTTATTAAAAATAATCCCAACTTTTAGCATGTATAGAAGCAGGTGAATGAAAGTAAAGAATGGGTACATATGAATAGGAGGCAAATAAGGGCGATGGAGGAGAGGGGAGAGTTATATGTTTTACTTTGGTTGGTTTGGGGGAAGGGGGAGTTGATAGAAATAAATCTGAACTAGCTACAACTATGTAATTCAAAAATTTTTGTATTATTTCTTTCCTCTTTCCTTAGGGACCAGTCAAGGGGAAGGAAGAAACTCTAATTAATCCTCCTTCCCTTTCAGTGATTCACCTCACATTATCAGTGCAAAGTCTAGACCTTTTCCTTTCGCATGCCACTACACCTAAAAGTAACCTCCTTGATTGAAATAACCATATCTTTCTAGACTCAAAAATCTGACAAAATGAATTATTCTTACATTAAAAATGATTAGCTTCCATGAAATGTATTTTCCTGTTGACCGCCCATGTTTAACTGTACATAAATAAAACCTCTACAATGACTCAATGAGTGCTGAAAATGATTATCTCTAACTGCAAAGTTCAGCTCTTTATCAGTCATTTGCCTTATTTTTGTCAAGATTTGACTCTGCTTACATTCTTCTTCTTATTCGTGATTTAAAGTATGCAAAATCTTCATCAAGTAAAAAGCAGAGGAAATAAACTGTTTTGACAAATGGACTTGAAAAGATAATTTTTTTTTTACAGTATATGATACATAGCAGTTATCACATATAACTATAGCATGAGTAGCCAAGAAAACTCAGGCTGGATAACAAGCCATGGAAGAATTCAGCTATAACCAGCAGAAAGTTCTAGAAGAATAAATACCTAAAAGAGCATCAAGTGATTTCAAATTGGCAGTGGGATTATCGCCAATCATAACAGAAAATGCGGACACTTTATCAGCAGCTGTTCCTGACCTTAGCGTGGTAAGTACCATCTTAATATCTCCACTTTGTCCTCTTGACGACTCATAGTCCATTGCATACTGCGCCAATAACCTCTCCCCCATTTCCTTCTTCTTTTCCACTTTCTTTTTCCATTCGTCTAAATTCTTAATCTCAACATTTTTCTTCTCTCCAATAATTTTATCTTCTAATTCTGCAGCATCAACGTACCATACCCCCGACGGGCTCGCTTTCACAAGCGGAAGCTTAGCCATGTTCTTGTATTTGCTGTGTGTTGTATTCCATAAATTATTGTCGGTTTTTTCAGGTTCGGCTTTAGGCTGCGGCCAAGGGCGGCTCTAGGGTAAGACAAGTGAAGTTATTGATTAAGCCCTAATATTCAGGCCCCAAAAATATAAAGTATTATCATATATATATATATTTAAAAAAATTATATTTATATAATTATTGATAAAATATTTTAAATTCTAATATTTATTTAAATTTGTTAGATGTAGGATTGAATGAGGTAGTAGAATAGAACTTTTCTCTTACTAAATTAAATAAATCTTCTCATCAATTCTATTTTCTCTTTCTTTCGTTTTTCATAATTTTTACTATTTTACTTTCTAATTTCAAATCAAATTCTCTAAATCAACTATTCCTTTTTGCCACATTTCATAGATCCTGATATATGTAATCAAGTTCTTTTGTGTCTCATTTTATTAACTAAGAAATCCCGGATACAAGTATGGTAAGGTTCAAAACACGATCGATAATACGCTCAATCCTTTTATCATTTTCATTTAATGCTATTTTTTTTTTATAGGGAGTTCAACACCTTATGACTTACGCTTAACCCACATATTATACATTGTTCTCTCACCATTTTTTTTGTCTCCGTATTATATGGATATTATGAAAGAAATTCAGGATCTTTTAATATATTTTAGTTTTAAGCCACCAGTTCTGTTGAGTCGTCCTCATTAATGATCAACAATTATTTATAGACCACTACCCATGAACGTGTTATTCAACAACTTCATTCACATTTGGTAACTAAATGTCACATTTGGTAACTAAATAATACATGTATTGATTGTTGTCTTATCTTAATTGAGCCTTGATAAAATTTGATTGAGAATAGCATGAGGATGGACATGTGGCTCGATTAGGAGACTAGTAAAGCTTTAATTTATGTCCCCAAAATATTTTAATAATAGATTTTATGGTTTTATTTCAAGTTAGACAATATTAAAGTTTGCAAAAACAAAAAATAAAATAAAAAACAATAAACCTTGGACAAAAGAAAGAAAGACTATCTAATCTTTAACATTAAAAATATTTTAGAACTTTGAATTAAATTACTTAGATCTTCATATTAGTAAATATATTTTTTATAACAAAATCAAAGGTAAAATATTGAAAATACATGTCTTACATCCAATTTATTTAAGTTATTTCTTACTAATATAAATAATAATACTACTATGTAAAGTTAAAGGTTTCATCATTTAAGCATGTTATACTATAAATAACAAGTATGAAAAAATGACAATACTATCTCTTTTTTTTTGGTATATGTGTGTGTATATATACTAATAAAAAAGTACATGGCCTCTTATTAAATTTCACTTTAGGCCACAAATTTTATGGAGACGCCATTGGCTGCAGCTTGGGATTTTTCCAAATTTATCGTTGTTATTGATTTTCTTTTTGTCGAGCTTGTTTTCCTTCCCATGTTGAGAGTCATTCTCGGTATTGGTAGTATTATCATTTGTAGGTGGCTGTTTGTAGGGTTTGAAGCGACCTTTTTTGCGGAAGTCAGAGTAGTCGAAACCGGAAGACGGCGTGGAGGTAGCAAGACCGAGTGAAGAAGCGAAAGAAGCTACATGTGACTTGAGTGCTTCAATGTCTGTAGAAATTTTGGAATTTTTAGCCTTCCCCATTGCAAAGAGAAGAGAGTTGCAGGAGGGTTTGGAAAGGGTTTAGTAAAAGAGAAAATTGAACAGGGCCAAAATTATGTAACTGGTTCTTGTACTATGTGCTTCTAAAGTTACGCTAAGCAATTGGGTTTTCTATAACCGTTGTAGCTATTGGGCCTCCTCTAGCGTTTACAAAGGTTGGTATTGGGCCATCAAAAAAATCACTATTATCCTAATTTACAACTGATAATTGAAAAGTAGCCATAATTTTAAAAGCAATTAAAATTTAGTCACCTTTTTATGTAAAGATAAGATTTAAACAAAAATAATCTTTAAAATCCAGAAAAATTCTAGCATAGTATGTTAGAGTTCGAATTTTATACATGTCACGACCCAAAATCCACTAAGGGTCGTGGTGGCGCCGGACACCGCTGTCAGGCAAGCCAACCAATAATACTTAATTAAATTCTCGTTTTAAATATTTCCGAAACCACTTCTTTTATGCATTTAAACAATACGTGATAAATTCTACTGAATAAATGATGAAACATTTGACAACTTTAAATTTCTGAATAAACCCATAGACATCCACAGAACCCGATGTCACATGTGCATGAGTTATTTCTAAGAAACAATACAATACAACATCCGTCCGAAATACAAATGGACAGAAAGTAAATACAATACACTGGAAGGGACTATACTAACTGCGGGCCGCCTCGAGAAATGCAACTCACCTAGTCCTAGTATCATCCATGCTGCTACACCCGTAGGCCGCTGGGGGTACATATGCATGTGCAACAAAAATGCACAGAAGTGTAGTATAAGTACGAAAATAACGTGTATTCAATGAGTATCCCGTCTAATCTCGAAGAAGTAGAGACGAGAGGTCGACTTCGACACTTACTAAGGGTCCAATAATGTGATGTCAATAAAACATTAAATCGCGGATTTCTATAAACATAATTTTAACCCAATAGAAGGAAACAAGTAAGCAATTATCTCTTTTATAGGAAATATCCAAAATTCCTTATCATTATTTATACAAATATTCTCAAGCCATGAAGAGGCAATAACAACTTTAATAAGTTCAAGGCACCAATACAAGCATGCGCAAATCATGCCGAGGCGTACGGCCCGCTCCAACAGAAAATAAATTGTGCACTATGATAAGTTAGGATTTTAACGTGTTTTATGCCCCTACTTGCCTATGCTTTGGTTATAAATTGCTGCAAAATAGTCCCAAAATGCTCACAAGTTGTACTTGATTGTAGGTTTGATCGACAAAGCGACGAATGTCAAATATCGGCTCAAAAAGGAGTGAAACCTGCTTAAGTGTCAAAGACTAAGCAAGATGAGGAAAAAAGGACCTAGTGTGGACCGCGCAACTGTGAACGCGGCCACACTAAGAGGTTCAGAGGATGGCAGATTCAAGGGGAAGGCTACGCGGCCGCGATCATTTCCACGCGGTCCGCGGTCAGGCTCCGCGGCCGTGCTACACTTTTATGCGGTCCGCGGAGCAGAGATTCAGAGAGCCAAAAATTTGACCACTTCCAAGCAAAGCGGCCCGCGTTCATTTCTGTACGGCCGCGCCAACTTCCACCGCGGCCGCGTTCCATGTTCACGCGGTCCGCGGTCCTCAACTTCTGAGAAGCAGAAACCAATAGTTCAAGAGCCAGTGCAGCCGCGCTCATGTTTGCGCGGTCCGCGCTGACCCTGCAGGGGTATTTTTGTCTAGTTTTTGCAGCCCAGTATAAATAGGACCTTTTTCCATTTTTAGGTTAAGTTTTATTTTTCTGAAGCAACTGAGCTCGTGAGACCGAATAGTTTAGCCATTTTTGGCACTTTTGCTCTTCAATATTGTAGTTTCTTCCTAGCAATTAATTAATATGCTTACTTCTTCATCTATTTCTTTAATTTTTGCATCTAGCATGAATAGCTAAACTCACTAGCTAGGGTTATGGCTCAACCCTAGTGTGGGTAATTGATGGGTGCTGCCATCTAAGGTTAGATTGATATTGGGTGTTTGTTATTTGGGTTGATTTTAGGTTTTAATTAAGGATTAGTGGTTGCAAACACTGATTCTAGCTTTGTGGGTTTAACTTTTCTTGAGAAAGAGAGTCCATGACCCCAAAATTGACCCAACAAGGAATTGGGATGGACCCATGAGAAATGGTAGTCCCAATTAACGGGTTAAATCTCGAGAGAGTAATCACCCTACTTGAACCCTAGTTGCTTGGTCTAATTGGCCTACCTAATTGGTCTCGAGAGAGTCAATTGGGCAAAATCACTCTCTCTACCGAGAGGTGTGAGAGCGGGTACAATTGTGCAGCGGTTATAGCATAAGCCCCAAACATGTCAATCTATCCTTAGTAGCATCTACCCGTTAATTAGCCACCTAGGCAATGCCACGACCCTAGTGCCTTTCTCTATATTAAATACAACTTAGCAATAATCTCTTAGCATAATTTAGTTTTATTCAATAATTTTAAAATAGTAGATATAAAAATCAAAGAAAACCCAAAGATGTTTGAAGTGATATTAGAAGCACAACCGCAATTCTAAACTAGACAGACAATACAACTCCACTACTAGCTCCCTGTGGAAATTCGATCCCAAACCACTATTCGGGTAAAAGCTATTGCGACCCGCTCTTCCTACCTTAGCGTAGTGTCGAGTCGGCAGCGATCACACTGCCGAGGGTCGAACGGCGCGAACCATAGATGCATCTATTACCCCGGTCGCGAACTATCCATGCGACGCGGTCAACACAAAATAAACAATCACCCTGCTCGTGAATCATACATGCGATACAGGTACACATAGAAATACATGCTCAGATAGCCAATTAAGAATTTATCGAGGAATATCTATTCAATAAAAGCCACTTTCTCTTTTAACAATTTGAGAAAAGAAGTTCAGTCCTTTTTGAAATATATTTATTAATTCGATGTGGTTTAAGCAATTCGAGCTGCCAATAAGTTTACAATTAATCCAAGTATAGCATGCTTTTGGGTCCTAGACTACCCGGACAATAGCATGATGGTAGCTACGCACGGACTCTCGTCACCTCGTGCGTACGTAGCCCCCACAAATAGGAGCACATAACCAATTAATTCACCTATGGGGACAATTCCCTCTTACAAGGTTAGAAAGGAGACTCACCTCGATCCGAAACCTATATTCCGATTCAAGAACGCGCTCAAACCTCCAATTTGGAGCCGAGCGATCCAAAACTATTCAAATAGGGTAAGAACTAGTCAATACATGCTCAAAAGTTCATATTCTAATTATTAAACCAATTTCCCAACCCTAAATGCAAGGTTCCTAAAATTCACCCCCGGGCCCACGTGCCCGGATTCCGCAAATTTTAGAAGAAAGTCGTTACCCATAACCTAAGGATCAAGAATATATGATTTTCACTCCATTCTCTAACAAATTTCGTGGTTAAATCTTGTTTTTACCAAATTCTAGGTTT